TTTGATTTATTTCGATAGAACCTAATGACAGGAAGCATCTTAATGTGGAGCACTTGTATGAAAGAGTAAAAGCTTACATTGACAAACGATTAAATTTAGCGTTAAGGATGGTAAAGTCCTTAATGGTATGAATACGCGGTATGATGTTAATTTGGTGCGAGAAAGATAGGTTCGTAATGATTTGGTAAAGCTGCTTAGATGGGTTAAACCATATCATCTTTATTTTTAAGCTAACGTTGATGGAAGGTTTAAAAGTGAATCGACTGGTGTGGGCAGTATTGTAAGGGACTATAATGAGAATTGCATTTGGCCTCTTGTCAGTCCGTTTCTATTACAAATTCTGAAATGTATGCTTTTTTCTATGTCTACTAATTGCAAAGAGATTGGTTGTCAATCTTTTACGAATTGAAATTGATTCCTTTTTAATATTTCAAATATGTAATGAGAGTGGATTCTGTCCTTGGGAGTGTCTTATTATTTGGAGCAAGACGAAAAAATTGTTACTAGGTTTCAGCCTTGAGTGGTATAATTGCTACAGCGAGGTTAATAGAGCGACTGACTATTTGGTCTAGTTGGGGGCAAATTTTGATAGGTCAAGATTGAGTATCACTCCATCTGCTACACTTGCTTGGTCTATTCATGATGATAAGTTAGAATTACCTTTTTAAGATATAGTTGATGATTTTCTTCTCCTTTTACTTCTGATATATATGTGATTGGTTTGTTAAAGCATCTCAAAATGGAGCATTTATTATGCTATAAAGGTGGGAGAACATATAATATTATAATTACAAACTGATATATAAACAACAACATTCAGGATGCTATGGTCCTTAAAGATTTCATTCTGCTGTGGGATGATATTTCAGTTTGGGAAGGAAGGCTGGTTCTGAATTTGAATGGCTGCTATGATGATTTATCTGTTTTAGCCTTTTTCTAAGGCTAAACTGCAATGCAGGTTTAAATAAGAGGGGGCTGGTGTTGGCGGTAATGTAAGGGACTAAAAGAGGGAGCTGATTTTTATTTCACTCCATTGCTTTTTCATTTCTCTTATATTTTTGGATAAGTTAGTTAATTGTTGCTTTGTTTATGGATTGCAAAGCTATTTGGAGATAATCCTTTGATGATTGAAACGGATTGATCTTTTACAGTTAGAATATGGGATGGCAATGGAAGTTGTTCTTGCGTGTGTTATAATTTGGAGCAAGATTTTTTGTTGATAACAGATTTCAGCGCTTGGAAGTAAAATTGCTACATGGGGCGTCAATAATGGGGCAGACAATTTGGCCAAGCTGAGGACGTACTCATATAGTCCTAGTTTGGGTCTCTCTCCATCTTCTACACTTGCTTGGTCATTCTTGGGGATAGCTTAGAATTAACTTTCTTACACATATAAATGATGTTTTTTCTTTAGTGTTTACCTATGGTATAACTTTATATAGTTTGTGGTTCTAAGGATATCATCTTCATAGACTTAATTTTTCTTTATTTTGTTTATTTGATCAGCGTGAGTTGTAATTGTCGGCGAGGGATCCATACCCAGCTGGCCAGTGTAATCTTTTTTTTTCGATATTAATAAAAATTCCCCTTGGGGCTCTTTACACACGCGCGCGCGCGCCCACACACACACACACGCACACACACACACGCGCGCGCGCGCACACACACACACAGCGCACACACACACCACACACACACACACACTCATTTGAAAATTGGGGAAAAGCTAAAAAAAGAAAGAAAAATATCTATATAGAATTTACCTGTACTCTAATTAGAATTTGCCTATACTCTAATTCAAATGAAGAATCAAGATAAGACGAGCCAATTAACAAGAAAAATGATTTAATTTGAGTCCAAGTGAGCCCAAATCATGCATTTAAAGCATAATAATGAGCTTTGAGATATATTTTGGGAAACCAAATGATCTCTATATCAAACAAGTATAAAATCAAATTGAGTGTCTCAAAGAGGCGAGTCCAACGAGCCCAAGATCACTTAATTCTAATATTATTAAGGCACATAAATACTCAAAAAATATCATCTAGCCAAGAGAACATCCGATAGAGTGGTTCAAATTTATGAAATATTCATGTAGGATGTTAGTCATAATAATTATAAATAGACGCCCACCTTCTTCTTGAAGGACTGTGACCTAGACGAGATAGTTAAAGGAGCTCTAAGCTCTTGAGGATTCTTAAGCTCCACCAACGCCTGACCACTACAGTTGGGTCATTTTCATCACCAAACCACCATTGCCCGACCACCACTATTGCCACCACCAGGCCATCATTGTCTAGCCACCATTGCTGCTAGACTACTGCAACTCAACCACCACTATCGTTACGGTCAAACCACCACAGTCGCAGCCGCCATACCACTATCATCTGGTCATCGTTGCCTTTGAACCACCTTAGTTCGGTCACCACCACCACTAGACCACCTCCATCTAGCCGCCACAACAACCAAACCACCATTGTCGGCCTCCACCATCACCACTGTCGGACCACCACCATCGCTAGACCACTTCTGCCCAGCCACTGCTGTCACCACCACCGGATCAGAGTTCTCGGGCAGTCACTGCCATACCAAAGCTGTCCCAATAACACTATCGCCATCACCAGACCTCTACTATCTAGCCACCGCTGCCATCAAACCACAACAACCCAACCACCACTGTCACAGCCGTCGAACCACCATCATCGTCCCCGCTAGATAACTGTCATCTGACAGCCGCCACCATCAGATCGCTGGTACCCGACCAACACTATCACCGAACCACCACTGTTAGACCACTATCGTCGCCTCCGCCAGACCACTGCTGCATGGTCACCACCATTGCTACTGCCGCCGTCAAACCACCACTACCCACACCCCATCATCGTCTTCCCCACTAAACCACTACCTTTTTGGTATCCACCGTCGTCGAACCACTGTTGTTTAGTCGCCACTCCGACCAGACCACCAATGCATGGCCACCATCGTCCCTATCGTCGAACCATCATCATCCAGTCACCGCCATCGTCAGACTACTGTCGTCACCGCCACACCACAGCTATCGGGTTGTCTCCACTGATTACGCTGGCATCAAATTTTTTGGCACGCAACATTTACTATCGGTTTTCCTTCACAAGAGTTGAGTCGTCGCTGCCTCTCCAACGTATTCCGCTACTTACCAGTGCAAGTAAAATCGATAGCCCCCACTTTGATAATATTGTTTCTTGGTATTCAAGGGGTTGGTATAGTCTTGTAACCTATCTCGATGTAGTAGAATCATTTTAGTAGAATATATATTTAAGATATATTAATCAGAAATAATTTAGATCCTTAAATGCCATACAAATTTTTATATTGCCATGGCATAACATTCTGACAAGTTTTCTCTCTCCAGAACAAACAAAAATATTTACCTTAACAGATTGCACAATACATGTGAAAAGATTTATTTTTAGTTTATGTGAAATGTTTGCATCATATTTTTTAATCTCTTAAAATTCAAGGGATCCAGAGAAGCGTGAAACAGCTGCCTATTGGAGCGCAGTTTGGTACGGGTAGTTTTCTCAAGTTGGACTCATCCCACCAGACCCAGAGTTTGGTGGCGTGGGGCCCACAGTCCGAACGTGACTCGAACTTAGAGGTTGGTGGCTTAATTAACAAAAGAAGTTAGTTGGTATATTTCGGTCCGGATTTAAATAAAGACCATGGACTTTATATCCTATTTCAAGCATATTATTAAATTGAATTTATTAATTACTATTAGTTATTGTATCTTACATTATAAAATAAATATGCAAATAATTTATCACTCTTTCGTACAAGTGAATAATTATTGGGTCAAAAAAAATTTAAGTCTTGATTCTCTTAAGATTTAGTGAATTTTGGAATGGACTAAAAGCCCCTGAAAAGTAAGCTAACACTTATTTAATTTTTAAAAACGACTCATAATGTTAAATTCAAATTTATTCTGTGAAACGTGCTCAAGAAATAGAGCGATAAGAATCAGAAGGGAGAGATAGATAGGTGAAGAGTGACAATGATATGCTCCTATTGAGGCAAAATGGGATATCCCTGAATCCTTGTGTCCCATTTTCTATATCTAATATGGATATTACAATGAGAAGGGGAGAGAGACCCTCTACAAAAGAAGAGTAAGAGAGAAGATCCAAAAACCCGTAATAAATGATATGGTCCCCCTGTTTGTAGAAGATAGAGAAACCAAAAAGATAAAATGACATGCTTTACCCATGCTATGGAGGGGTTTTACATGGTATTCCAGTCTTTTTGCATATCTGGACTTGCTGCTCGATAGGTTTTTGGGTCGACCGACTGACCTAATTTTGGCCAGTTTTCGTCTGGGCAATGGTCGGCTTTTGAATGGGAAACCAACCAGTTTTTGAGTGGGCTGAAAAGTCATCTTTTGAGTGGCTGTTCGACTTTCTTGATTATTGTTCATTGTTGATCTTTGGAGAAGCTTTTGAGGGAGCTTTGCGTTAAAACTGCTACGTTATTGGAGGTGTTAGACCTTTGCTTTCCTCCAGAGTGATCGGTGTGAATTCCTTTCTCTTGTTGGCTTGGGTGGTCAATCGGTCGGCTAAACATTTCTTTGGTTGGATGACCGTAGGTCGGATTAATGAGGCATTATAATTTTTCGTTTGAGGGACCCTCGTCATATCTCTTTTGATCCTGGATCGTTAGACTATCTCGAGATTTGTGCTGACACTTTTTTAGTGTACATATAATAATATTTTTATAGTGATGTGAATGATTTGGGTATTGTAAATATAAAGATTAAAATTTAGACATTAGATTTGTAAATATACAAGAATTGTGTGGCATGTATGTAAATGACCCCACAATTCTTAAAGTTTAATAATTTGTATTTAAACTAATAATTTTTAAAATAGATTTAAAAGATAATTTAGAGCACTTTCCAGGCTCAAGGAAAAATGAACAGAGGATTTAAGTAGAAAATGAAACAGGAAAAGTTTTAAGTGTCCATAAAAGCAATTCATTTATTTTCATGTAAACCATTCGAAAATAAGCAGTACATATAACATGCAGTAGCTTCATAGAAAATATAGATTCAGGCATAATAAAAGGCAAGTGTGAATCATCTTCCAAAATGAGAAAAAGCTTCAGAGTTAAAAAGAGCATGTTATAAATTCTTAGCTGCAGCAATGACGTGCTCTACGGTTAAGCCAAACTCCTTGTACAGTCTCCCTGCAGGAGCACTAGCTCCAAACCGGCTGATCCCAATAGCCTTACCCTTGCTGCCAACAAATCTCTCCCACCCAAATGTGGTTCCAGCCTCAATGCTTACCCTAGCAGTGACAGCTGCAGGGAAGACACTCTCCTTATATTCATCCGGCTGCTCATCAAACAGCTCCCAGCACACAAGTGAAACTACTCGCACTGTCTTCCCCTCCTTCCTCAGCTCATCTGCAGCCATGGCTGCAATTTCTAGCTCAGAACCGCTGCCCACAAGAATGATATCCGGCTTGTTGCCAGAAGAGTTATCTGAGATAATATACCCTCCCTTCTCTACTCCTTCGATCGAAGTCCCGGCAAGGTGGGGAAGCTTCTGTCTAGAGAGCGCGAGGATTGACGGCCTCTTGTTGTTAAGTACTGCAACCTTGTATGAGCCGGCAGTTTCGTTTCCATCAGCTGGCCTGAGCATCAAAATGTTGGGCATGGCTCTGAAGCTCATCAAATGCTCAATGGGCTGATGAGTCGGGCCATCTTCACCAAGTCCGATAGAATCGTGAGTCATGACATAGATAACTCGTGCTTCGGACAAGGCTGAGATCCTTATTGCAGCCCTCATGTAGTCGGTGAAGACGAAAAAGGTTGCACAGTAGGGAATGAGGCCAGGGCTGTGAAGTGCAATTCCGTTGCAGATGGCACCCATGCCATGCTCTCGAACACCAAAACGGAGATTTCTTTCCTCAGGTGTGGCCTTTTGGAAGTCCCCATAACTTTTCAATAATGTCATGTTCGATGAAGCGAGATCAGCGCTGCCTCCAAGGAAGCCGGGGAGGGCAGTTGCAAGAGCATTAAGGTTTTGCTGAGAGAGGTTTCGAGTAGAATCAGCTTTGCTCTCAGGGGTGTAAGTCTATAAAAAAAGGATAAATGGTAAGACTATTTGGTGAAAACAATGACATGGTCAGTTAAATGAAAGAGTAATAAAAACTAAACTGGTAGAGCTTTCTCCCATCCTGCAGGAAGTTCTCCAGAGATGATGGCTTTCAGCTCTGCTGCTTCCTCCTTGTACTTCTTCTCATATTCAGCAAATTTTGCATTCCATTCTGCTTCAAGAGAAGCACCATTAGGGACATGGCTGCTCCAATGGCTGAAAAGTGGCGATGCCGAAAATATTTAATGAGGAAAATACAACAGGAAAAAAAAGAGCATATTTTAGCTAGCGATTTAATTTAAAAAACCTCTTTACATCCTCAGGGACTTGGAAAGGCTCATACGGCCATCCAAGTTTCTGCCTCGTTGCATCAACTTCCTTTGCACCTAAAGCACTGCCATGTACGCTGTATGAGTTTGCCTTGTTTGGTGAGCCATACCCAATGGTGGTTGTGACCTGCAAATGGTAAAAAAAATTCATAAAGAATTCAAGGATTTAAAAGAAGAAATAGAGAAAAAAGACAGACCTTGATCAATGTGGGCTTGTCCTTGACAGCCTTCGCTTCTTTGATTGCAGCCCGGATTTCATCATAGCCAGTGTTGCCATTCTTCACCCAAATAGTGTGCCAACCAAGAGCATTAAAACGAGCATTCACGTCTTCAGTAAAAGCAATCTCAGTGTCCCCATCAATAGAAATGTGATTATCATCATACAAAGCAATCAATTTGCCAAGACCCCAGTGGCCAGCAAGAGAACAAACTTCATTCGAAATACCTTCCATTTGACAACCATCCCCAAGAATAACATATCTAGAAAAAAGAAAAAAAAGAAATATATATATATATTCATTTATATTAGCGAGATATCAATAGATGAAACCAAGAATAGAGAAGAATGATTGACTATTACGTATAGTGGTCAACGATCTCATTATCAGGCTTATTGAAACGAGCTGCTAGATGTCTTTCAGCAAGTGCTAATCCAACAGCATTGGCAATAATCCAACAGCATTTCAGCAAGTGCTAATCCAACAGCATTGGCAATTCCCTGACCCAAAGGACCTATAAGCAAAAAAGATAAAAATATATATATATGAAAACATGTCAGCATAGATCTCGAGACAGATGAACACTTTTCTCGCAGTGGCAATCGGCCCTCAGGACGATCAGCAAGAAACAATCCTTTTTGGACTGACTTTCAGGGGACTTAAGGCACACCAAACAACTGACGATCTTCCTATTGACTGAATCAATCCTCCAATCTTAGTATAAGAGAATATTTTTGTAATTACCAAAATGTCTCTCTAAAAGGCTCATGAAGAGGGGGTTGATATGGAATTTTATAGAACCTGAACCCATTCCTATAAATAGCGGGTCAATATCATGAATAAAAATTACGCATTCCTTGTTGTTTTCCTCTTCTCTCTCTCTCCCTCTCCCTCTCCATAACGTTCTATACCTTGGATGTGTTTCCCGAACAGTTTCAAATTCAACATTCTTTAAGGACGGTGAGCATGGAAATATGTAGTTAACAAGAAGAGGAGCCCAACAACAACAAAAAAGAGAATCCAGTCAGAGGAACGTGGTGGAAACAACATACACTAGGGAGTTCATGGAAGAATTCGTCTAGCAAGGCTTGTAAGATCTGAGAACTGAGATCACCAACCAGATGTCAGGACAATTTGCAGAGGTGCTCAGATTTGTGATTGCCTTAATAACAGTCCCAATCCCAGTCACAATCCCAGAAGGAAGAGTGATCCACCTACAGAAATGCCTGGTAACAGGTTGTACCAAGACAATGTCGGATCCACCCCTGTGGAGAAGAGGAACCGACCAGTGCAGACCTAGGTACAAAGGCAGCCGAAGAATGCTTTCTCCCTATTGGTCTCGGGAGTTGAACCCCCTGAGAAGTTCAAGATGCTCGTCTTAGAATCATATAAATGACGGGCAAATCCCAACGACCACCCTGCATCATTCGAATTGTCCACATGCATGTTGAAAATTTTTATGCCCTCAAGTGTAAGTTGTTCTTCACAATCGTATTAGGGTGGTTCGATGGGTTGCTTATGGGCGTAATCATTTGTTTTGCAGAGTTCATGACCTTTTTCTATCGCTGATTGTTAAGGTCCTAAGGCCTAAGAAGAGTGCCCGGTCCCTATGGCAACTGAACTAGTGAGCCGAATAGAACTTGCGGTCATATATCGCACGTTTCTAGAATGAAATGTAGGATGTCAAGGATCTGAAACCCAACATGGCCCAAGCAGCACTGAAACAAGAAGTGAGGTCGGAGAGATTCCATTTTACCCTCGAACTCGCAGAGCCACAGAGCTTAGCCAAGCTGTTAGAGATGACCAATAAGTATATAGTCGCCTGTGAGAATGCCGCGGAACTCGCCGAACATAGACAATAGAAACAAACGTCACACGACAACAGAAAGCAACTTGGACAAAGTACATGACCGACCGTCAGCCCACGCTACGAGAGTCACCATGGTAGCAACCCCAACCATCGACACGAGGATCAGAGGCGGCAAATCAGAGCCCAGAACCACGAATCGTTCGATCATCATGAGCACCCCCAGTACAACCACAAGGCCCCCGCGTAACCCCATTGAGATATCCATGGCGGAAATAGTGGATGCTATTCAGAACAAGAAATTTTTTCGGAAGGCACTAAAGATTAGAATCGGAACTTTCCTCTGAGATAGCAGGAAATATTACAAGTATCATCAAGACCACGAATACGACACAGAGAAATCTAGACATCTACGAAGTCTGATCGAGGAATAATAAAGAAGGGGAAGCTGAAAAAATTTGTCACTCCTAGAGCCGCGCCCTAGAGGCAGGGCAAAACTCCCACAGGAGGAACAACCGACAGACCTATCCACACCAACACCATTTACATTGCAGGATATGTGCCCGCAATTTTTGGAGAAAGACAATCATCCGGGAGGGTAAGTCAAAAGAGACAGTAGACGGGGAAACTCTACGTCACAGCCATTGCCCCAAAACTTCAAGGCCACCCACCTATTTACTTTATCGATGAGGATCACTCCCCAAAAAGAAATCCATATAATGATGCTATTGAAATAACAACAATAATCAGTAATTATCAAATAGGAAGCGTCCTCATTGATATAAGAAGCTCTGTGAATGTACTATTCAAGCAGGTGTTAAACAAGCTGAGCCTCGTTGTCGATCAGATGTCTACGCCAGTTGGACCGCTGTATGGATTCTCGAGTAAATAAAAGGAAGCGTTGGGGGTGGTCAGGCTCCCAATAAGTTGGGGGGAAGACGAGAGCAGTTTATGTAACGGAAGATTTCCTCACTTATATCACTATATTCAGCCGACCACTCCTGAATGATTTCGGGGAGGCAGTCTCCAATTATCATGTTGTTGTCAAATTTCCTTGAGACGAAGAAATCATCATAGTCAGGGGTGACCTGAAGCAGTCTCGAGCCTGTTACTTGCAAGCCAAAAGAAATGTTAAACACGACCCTCTGGTCATCTAGAACACAAAGGATGGCGTGACCTCGAGACCAACGAAACCACCTGAGAAGTTCCGACTATCGAAGGAAAGTCAGGTAAATGTTATATGAGAAGTGGGGGGTTTAACGATGGCCAACGGTCTATGGGACGTATCGGCACCCGACAGCAACAAGCTTTATGTGAGGTGCGTAAATGATCATCCTGCCCCGAACTACAAAGTTAACACCCAAAAAAGACAAGCTCCGTGAGGGGTGTCTAACAATCGCTAGCGGCTTATGAGACGGATCGACACCAGCAGCGACAAGCTCCACGAACGGTGCATAAACGATTGTCTTGCGCCCGAATTACAATGTTAACACCCGACAACGACAATCTTTGCGAGAAATGTCTAACGATCGCCAGCAGCCTATGAAACGTATTGACATCCGACAGTAACAAGTTCCGCGAGGGGTGCGTAAATGATCGTCACGCGCCCACAAAGTTAGCACCCGACATCGACAAGTTCAGCGATGGGTATTTAATGATTGACAGTGGACTGTGGGGTGTACGACACCTGACAGCGACAAACTCCGTGAGGAGTGCTTAAATGATCCTCATGCGCCCGAGTTACAAAACCCAACAACGACAAGCTCTGCGAGCAATGTCTAACAATCGTACATAAAAAAGACCTCAGATCACGACCAACAGCTCATAACAAGAAACAAATTATCTAAACCTTTGAGCAATCATCAGATGAATGAGAAAAGGTCGGAGTAACAGAACTTCCAGCCTCAAAATATTCTTTATATCGCAAGAGTTCATTTACAAAATATCAATCTACCTAATAATGAAACTAAAAACAAAAAAGAGCAGAAAAATACAAGGGACCACTTTAACCCTGACATTTGACGATTCCTTGAGCTTCGCCCTCTTGGTTCTTTCCAAACCTTCAGCACCATCAGAATTTTAGCGTGCCGACTCTTCTCCACCCTCCGAATCTGAATGGAGCATCCCAAACTTCTCCATATTTTGCCACATGGGGTCAACCAGCTTATGCTTTACAAACCTCTCGATCATGAGAGAAGTGCCGACTGTAATCTAACGAGAAAGACCTTCGACATGTGCCTCCCGAGTAATCATTGAAGACATTTTCTCTTTTAGTTCCTCATTTTCCTTTAGAAGGGCTGCTATTTGAAGCTCGTGCTGTTAAAAATCAAATTTTCTCTCCTTGACAGAAATTTTCAACCTATCCTCCGTCATAGCAATTTTTCGTTTCCACTTCCGAATTCCCGAAGCAGATATCTCGACCTCCTCCTCAGCTCTATCTAAGAGGAGGCACTGGAACTGCGAAGCACTTCAACCAAGGGTGTGATATCGACCGACCGCTTAGAACATGTCTCTTCTATCCATCGCCATATTTTCGAAGGTGGGAGACCAAAACATGTCCATCAAAATCGATGGGTTGTCCCCATTCAAAGGAGTGTTTGGGAACAGCTCGATCTCGCTGTCAAAGAGAGCATAGTGATCGCTTGTCCAAATTCCAGCTCCTCAATCGTTCGAGAATATCCACTCAGGCGGAATCGCCCCCTTTGCATGGGAGGAGGGGCCGAGCTGGTATTAGGGGCAGGAGCATTTCCTTTCCCTCCAGAGGATGTCACTCTCCAGCTGATCCACGACCACTCGCCCTTCCTTAGAGTCGGTCCCACTAGAGATAGGACAGGAGGCACGACTTGCCTCACTTCGCTTCTACAAAGATATGAACAAGGTCTCCCCCGTCGCCGCCTAAACTCCTCCAACCGAAGGATGCACTGGCAAACCTCCGGGGTCTAGAATGTTGGGCGATCGAAAAGAGGCGGGAGAATCCAACAAATTATACAGGAGTCACATGAGCTTGTTTTGCACCGAGCTTCAACATCCCCGTCGACCGACCTAATCGAGCCAGACCGACCGCGAGCTCTGCCAAGTAGGGTAGGGGCACCTCTCCCCCCTAGGCCTTTCTAAAGCTGCCCTCTCCCCAGCAACCTTTTCTCGACCAACCTCCCTATTGTTGGTCGACCTCCACATATACTTGGTCATGGTATCAACACCATCCAGATGAATCATGCATTCGATCACATTGGGGTCGAGGTATTGAAACAAAGAGAGGCGGTGACGCTCAATCAGTGCCCCATGATCTCGAACATTCTCTGGCAAGGCCTTCACCTTTTTCACCTCGCACTTTGTCGGAGAAGTGCAAATTCCCCAACCACTCACACATGAGGCAACCAAGAACTTTGCTTCCAGTCTTTCACCTTGTTCTCAAGCCCACATTTGAACCTTAGGGTCCGCGGCAAATTGAATATACTCATCACGACCGATCTGAAAGAAAAAGAAATGGTTGAAGCGTTTGATCGACAATGAGATTTTCATCTTCCTAAAAAAAACAATAGAATTAGGAAGGACTTGGGAAGGAATGATCCCGCAGCGATGAAAGATCGATCATAACTCCAGACAAGAATTGCAGCTGAAGACGCATCTTAAAATGAACTTTGTAGAAAACTAGGTAAGGAGAAAAGTTACTCGTAGCCCTCTTATGGCTGGCGGCCGGTCGTAGGAGAATCGTGGGATCTAGAACGTAACGGTCCTGGATCTCTTCTACGTTTGCTGCGGAGAGAACCAAAACTTTCAAAGCAGGAATCAAAACAAACGATTCCTGAGAGAACTTTCGGACTATTGAGCTTGAGATACTGCACCGAAGAAGGAAAGGGGCATAGAGAAAGGCAACAGAACCTAGAGAAAGAAGGAAAGGACAAGAGCTCTCAGCCAGCGCGCTACCACATACACACACACACACACACACACACATATTAAAAGAATGGGTAAAGGCGTGAGGTCCCCAACCCACCCTATTGGCTCAACCCTCGCCAGGTTTGGGGGCGATCCATCCAACTAAATATTCGAGTACCCCCTCCTTAAGGTAACAGTCATAAGAGGGATTCGAACCCCAGACCAGAGGAGACTTACACCGCCGAAGCGGATGCTCCACCAACTGACCTGGGAAAGCGAAGCATATATATATATATATATATGTGTGTGTGTGTGTGTATATATATATATATGTGTGTGTATATATAAAGAGACACATACACATGAAGGGACGACTTTTAGGAAAGTGAAACGCCGCTGACAAGACTGGCCGGATGGGATTACACGTTAGCTGGAGCAAAGAAATCAGTACAAAAAAATAACTAATATATTTTATTTTATTTTATTTATACACAAACAAAGGGGAGCGTCGCGCCAAGCCCTCGGTTGCAACTAAGAAAAAAAACTTAACTAAACGATCGTTCGCGGCTTTGTCTGAGACAAACCCTCGGTGACGAAGCCGCTCATACATAAACTAATCACCCAGCCTGAAGAGGTCGTTTTGACTATCCCTCGGCTGAGCGACAAGGACGATTCTGATGACCGATAATTCCAAACACAAACGTGTCATCTCCATACGATCAACAAGTATCTCCTCCCAAAAAGCAGCAAGCTTCTCGCAGAGTGAAACAACTTTCTTCTCCACCCAACAAACTCTCCCCAGGACTTTAGTGATTCCTTCGTCAGTGGCCCCCTGAGATAACCCATAAAACGAAGAAAACACTCCTCCATTTTAGCGAGACGATGCAGTATGAAGTCATAGGACACACAACGCCCTCCAGTCGTCTCCTCTTCCCTCGCAGCGCTGGAAGAAACCTAACAACCCACACTTTGGCCCAATCGAGAGATAAGTGCCCCTCCATCCTTCGCTCCTCAAAACCTTGCTCAACACCCGGATCCCCAGCACCCTTCCATAACACCTCGCTCTGATACTCCCTGTTCCAAAGTGTCTGCTCCTTCCGCAATAACCTGCTCCGCACTTGCTCCCCTGGCCACGACTTGGTCCATAGCGGCTGCGTCGTCCTCAGAGCCAGCATCAGTATCTTTCGATACATAATTGATAGTTAGGACTTCAGTAACTCCACCCTAAATGGGAAATACAAAGGACAATTCAAACTACATACCCAATATTCTCCTCCATTCAAATGTGGTGTAAGAATAAACATCCTCACTGGCCTTCCCTAGGCCTGCGCCAACAGAGAAAAGACTATTCTTCATCAGTAGAGACCATGTATTAGCTTCGACCGCCACCTCCGCAAGCCCCCTTGGGGAACTATAGCCCCCACAACAACCTGCACAAACATCCTTTCTCCCCCAGCAAATGCACTCACTTCCGACGGGTGCCCCGCAAGGAGATCGTCAGAACGACCCTTGGCCTGCACCACAGCCCTCTCCTGAAGAGAGCCCACAAAAAAAATCAAAGACCAGCTTGATCCTCACGCTCACTGGTTCTCAACTGGGGCACGAGCATTTTTTCTACTCATCTCTCAAGTAGAAGTTTCACCCATCAACTTTTCGGTTTACGAGCCCTTGCTCGCATATCACGCTTATCGGCAAACGGTGCTCCTTCACCAAACATCATGACAAACATAGAAAGAAAAAGGCATAAGACAAAGGAACGAGAGGAAATGGACAAAGCACAAAACTTCCATGTCCTATGGCTTATTTATAGTGGCCTGGATACGGGAATCTAGGGAAGTTCATTACTGTGCAACAATATCATTTAATTAATTCTTACACTTTAAAAAGAACCCCTTGTTCTCGTGTGTTGTGCAGATTCAATGGAGCAAAAGAATTGAGAAACTAAATATGTATATGAAAATTATGTTAGCATAGACCTCGAGATAGATAAATAGCTCAGATGGAAGATACGAACGAGGCTTTTGACAAACGTTTGGATTGTATACTGCCAAAGGGGGCGCATAGTTCTAACGATCGGAAGAACGTAATTTCTCGCAGGGTGGTGATTGGCCCTCAAGACGATCAACAAGAAACAATTCATTTTGGACCGACTGTAGGTGGACTCAAGACACAACTCACGATTGATGAGCTTCTTATCAGTCCTCCGGTCATATTATAGATGAATATGTTTGTAATTACAAAAATGTCCCTCTAAAAGGCCAATGATGAGGTGATTGATATGTAATTTTGTAGAACCTGAACTCATTTCTATAAACAAGGGGTCAATGTTATGAATCAATGTTACAAAATTCTTGTTGTTCTATATTACTCTCTCTCTCTCTATAACGTTCTATACCTTGGAGCGTGTTTCCGGGCAGTTTCAGATTCAACAAAAACGAACAACTTTTAAAAAGATTATTAACAAATCAACAAAAATCATGCATGATACAACAATCATAATTCCATATAGTTTGAAGTAAACCAGTTGTGACTTCAACACCCGGCGTTTCAAAATTCTCAGGATGACCAGGTGTTCTGCTTCCCCACTGACGGAACTGCTTCAAATCTTCCTCCTAAGAATTCAAAGTAGAACATGGAAAAGCATTACAAATTTGAAACAGTCTCATAAAATAAAACTCAAACATAGCAAGCTGTTCAGTTTATTTTGGCAGAAAGAATAAGGACATGGGCAGTAGTTGTAAACTGGTGTCATTACAGAGTGCTCGCTAGTTGAAACGTTACCAAATCATGAAAAAGAAAAAAAAAAATCTTTTACAATTTACAGAAAGGAAGCAATCCAAAAGAAAGCAGAGAACTGTATGAATAGGTAGCAGATCTGTCAAGGTTAAATCTCATCATAAAGTACATATTACTAACCAACCAAAATATACCAACAGACAAATTCTTCAATTAATTCTTTCAACAATTTCTACTTTATTACAGCTTAAAATAACCTTTTTTTAATCGAGAAAAAAGGTAAAATATTTTCGTCCATGCATACAAAAAGATAAAAAAAAAAAAATTTTTTTAGATCCCATATCAATATCTAACCATTCCAATTGCCCATGTTTCAAAAGAATCTATTAAAAAAAACAAAATCAAACCAATTTTCTAAAATAAAAAAGAGATCCAAACCCAAAAAAAATTAAGCTACCAACCACCAAATCCGAAACACCAAACTACTCAAAAACAAGAAGCAACTCACCAGGACGCTATCGTAACCAGCGAGATGCAGCAGAGCATACTGGAGCATGCAGCCATGGCCGGCGGAGAGCACGAAGCGGTCTCGATTGAACCAATAGGGATTCTTTGGGTTATACCTCATTACCTCATCGTAAAGAATGTGACCCATGGGAGCGCAACCCATAGGCAGCCCCGGATGACCCGAATTCGCCTTCTCAACTGCATCGATGGCCAGAAACCGTATCGTGTTGATCGACTTCTCGACCAGCGCAGTCGTTCCAGGCTTCACCTCCAGCGTCTCAACCGCCGCCGCACGCGGAGGATTCAGAAAGCGGGTCGTCGATACGGCCGACAAAAGGCGGGGAGATAACTTTAAGGATCGTCCAGCTAGCGAGCTACGGCCGAATCCTGTCGGGAAAGAAAGCTTGTCTGGGTGGACCGGAGCGGCGGAGTTGTGGCCGGCGACGGCTCGCCCAATGATGGACTGTGCAGTGGTGACGGAGGAAGAAGCGGCCATAGTAATTTTCCCTCTCTACTCGCTTTCCTCCGCCTCTCTTTCTCTCCGCCGGAGCGAGTTTTTGGAGAAAATGTACCCTTGAAGGTGATGCTAATATGAGGAAACAGGAATGGAAAGGGATCGGGAAAAGCAGGTTGATTGGTTGGTGGAAAATGAAAACGAAACATGGGAACCGTCAGATTAGAAGGGGGGAGGATCTAACCGTTACGGCTGCATCTTATTTGTTTGACCAAACTCGACAATGAGATCTTTGGTTGTGCAATGCATGATGATTTTCCTTTCAATAGTTTAATCAATTTTTTTTTTTTCATTTCATTAGTAAATCATGAATGCAAATGTAAGAATAAAATTATAATTTACTAAACTTATGAAATAGAAATAAATTATTTGTGAATAGATGAAGATATTTTATGATTCAAATATTATTTTATTTTATTCTTAGCTGAATAAAACAAATCTAATTCTTTTTTCATGTAATGAATAATAAAAATTTAGGTATTTATTTACATTATTTTTTAGGGGCATTTACAGCGTAGCACAAAATTCTTGTGTATTTACAAATCTCACACCCAAACTTTTATGTTTGCGCACATAACATTCAAATTTCTAATATAACATAAGAAGTGGTACTATTAGCACTTTTTTGAAGTAAAATATGTATTTTCATGCCTAAATTTAAAACACAAAAATGTTATGTATGTAAATATGAAAATTTAAGTGTGGGGTATGTAAATACATAAGAATTATGTACTACATATGTATAATTTAAAACACCAAAGTACTAAAATTAAAGCCAAATCTTCATTAAAATACCCTAACTAAAAGTTTAAAGCCCTAAATTAATTTTAATTACACCTTAATTCATTTAAAACACCCTAACCAAAATTTTAAAGACTTAAACTAAGTTTAGTTACACCTTAGTTCATCTAAAACGCCGTGATCAAAGCATTAAAGCCCTAAAATAATTTTAATTACATCTTAGTTCATCTAAAAACTCCATAACCAAAATTTTAAAGCCTTAAGTTAATTTTAATTACATTTTTATTCATTAAATTGCCATAACTGAAATCTAATAATATTTTAAACCATCAAAACAAAGAAGTTTTTTTGCTTAATTACCTTTATATATATATATATATGGCTCAGCTGGAGGCCTAATTGGAAACTAATCATGACTTTGTATCTGACCTTTTCGTGGCTAATGAAGTGCTGATAAATGCTATATCCATGTAGGAGGAGTTTATGCCCAGAAAGCCGCTAAAACTAAGTTCTGTGAGGGGGATAGAAAGTCCAAATATTTCCATGCCTGCATCAACTTTAGAAGGAAATGTAACACTATCTATAAAAACCAGGATCCTTCAGGGGTTCGGCTTAATACTGATGATTCTATTGCTTTAAGTGCATTAAACTATTTCTAGAATCTGTTTACTCAACCTCAAAACAATAGAACTCCAATTCAGAGGGCTCTCTCATTTCAGGATGTGGAATATACCAAGAACCTTGATCTTTCTTTTCTCCTTGATGAGGAGGAAATATGGGCTGCTTTAGCTTCCACTGACAATTCAAAAGTAGCTGGCCCAGATGGATTTACTACAGATTTCTATAAAAAGACTTGGAAAATTATTAAGCCTGATGTTTGGATGTTGTTCGTAGCTTCTTCAAGGGGGAGGATCTTCCTAGTTACTTCAAATATTCTACCATTACTTTGATCCCCAAAGACAATTCTAAGAAAAAATGAGAACATTTCAGGCCTATAAGCCTCACAAATGTGATGTCAAAGATTATTAGTAAGGTCTTAGCAAATAGAATTCGACATCATCTCCCTCATCTAATTAGTGAGAACCAGTTTGATTTTATTAAAGTTAGAAAGTATTGTGAAAAATTTCTTGTTGGCTCAGGAACTGATTCTGGATTCGAATAAACAGTGCAGAGGTGGTAATAATATCCTTAAACAGGGTATAAAAAAGGCCTATGATACCATCCATTAAGGTTTCATTGAGGAGGTGCTTAATGCTAGAGGTTTTTCCCCTCAGTTTATTTATGTTATCAACTGATGGCTATCTAACAACTACCATTTGATTTTCATTAATGAGCTATCTCATGGCTTTTTCAATGCTTCAAGAGGTATCAAAAAAGGGACACTTTTTCCCCCACTATTTTTATTCTTGCCTTTGATTACTTATCTAGGCTTCTTAATCAGTTATCTTCCAGCTCTCCCCATATTTTGTATAATCATAAGTCTAACATTGCTATCAATCACTTGGCTTGCTGATGATGTTATATTATTTACTAAAGGCACTATGCCTGCTGTTAAACTGATTCTCCATTGCTTAAAAAACTTTCAGTCCTGCTCGGGTATGCATTTAAATTCACAAAAATGTACAGTTATTTTCGGTAAAAGAGTTAAAACTGATATTAAACACTGGATCATTGAGCTTACTGGTTTCTGCACTGGTAACCTTCCTCTGAAGTATTTAGGGGCTTATCTTCTAAGAGGTAGGACTAGAAAAATTCAGTTTGATGATATTGTGGTAAAAATCCACATACAAATACACGTATACATACACATACACATACACGTACATATATAGATACATATACACATATGTACACATACATATACACATATATACACATACATATATACGTACATATATAGATACAAATACACACACACACACAAACACACATATACACACACACACACACACACACACACATACACACACACACACACACACACACACACACACACAACTCAGTTGGAGGCCTAATTGAAAACTAATCTTGACTTTGTATCTGACCTTTTTGTGGCTAATGAAGTGCTGATGAATGCTATATCAATGCAGGAGGAGTTTATGCCCAGAAAGCTGCTAAAACTAAGTTCTGTGAGAGGGATAGAAATTCTAAATATTTCCACGCCTGCATCGACTTTAGAAGGAAATGTAACACTATCCATAAAATCCAGGATCTCTCAGGGGTTTGGCTTAATACTGTTGATTCTATTACTTCAAGTGCAATAAAGTATTTCCTAAACCTATTTACTCAACCTCAGATCAATAAAACTGCAATTCAGAGGGCTCTCTCATGTTAGGATGTGGAATATACCAAGAACCTTGATCTTGATTTTCTCCCTAATGAGGAGGAAATATGGGCTGCTTTAGCTTTTATTGACAACTCAAAAGTAGCTGGCCTAGATGGATTTACTGCTGATTTTTATAAAAAGGCTTGGAAAATTATTAAGCCTGATGTTTTGGATGTTGTTCGTTCAGAGCTTCTTCATCAGAGCTTCTTCAGGGGGGAGTATCTTCCTAATTACTTCAAATCTTCTATCATTACTTTGATCCCCAAAGAAAATTCTAAGCATAAATGGGAACACTTCAGGCCTATAAGCCTCACAAATGTGATATTAAAAATTATTAGTAAGGTCTTATCAAATTGAATTCAACATCATAGAATTAGTGAGAACCAGTCTACTTTTATTAAAATTATAAGTGTTGTGAAAAATTTCATGCTAACTCAGGAACTGGTTCTGGATTTGGATAAACAATGCAAAGGTGGTAATAATATCCTTAAACTGGATATAAAAAAGGCCCATGATACTATCCATTGGGGTTTCATTGATGAGGTGCTTAATGCTAGAGTTTTTTCCCCTCAGTTTATTTCTCTTATCAACCGATGGCTGTCTAACAACTACCATTTGATTTTCATTAATGAGCTATCTCATGGCTTTTTCAGTGCTCCAAGTGGTATCAAACAAGGGGACCCTTTGTCCCCCACTGTTTTTATTCTTGCCTTTGATTACTTATCGAGGCTTCTTAATCAGCTATCTTCCAACTCTCCCCATATTTTGTATAGCATAAGTCTAACATTGCTATCAATCACTTGGCTTTTGCTAATGATGTTATATTATTTACTAAAGCCACTAAGCCTGCTATTAAACTGATTCACCATTGCCTCAAGAACTTTCAGTCCTGCTCGGGTATGCATTTCAATTCACAAAAATGTACAGCTATTTTTAGTAAAAGAGTTAAAGCTAATATTAAACACTGGATCATTGAGCTTACTGATTTTTGCACAGGTAACCTTCCTCTGAAGTAATTAGGGGCTTATCTTCTAAAAGGTAGGACAAGAAAAATTCAATTTGATGATATTGTGGTAAAAATCTAGGATAAGCTTAACTGCTGGACTAACTCCTTTATATCCAATGAGGGTAGAATTACACTTTTTAGAAGTGTGATGGCTGCCCTCCCCTCCTATTTATCCCAGATGGTTGTGATGAAAAAATCCATTTAGATTTCTCTTGAGAGGACCTTCAATAGATTCTTATGGGCTGGTCAGAGGAAGCAAGTTCACTGGGTGAGGTGGCAGAAGGTTTGTAAATCTACCAAACCTGGTGGCTTAAGGTTCAAAAGCTTTCAGCAAATGAAACAAGCCAATTTGTGTAAACTTTGGATCATGTTCAAAGCACAGTTCCCACTATGGGCCAAATTTGTGATGGGCAAATAATGCAAGGATTATCATCCCTCCCTAGTGTCAAGCAAAATAAGGGACTCAAGAACTTGGACTAATATGTTGAAAGTCAGGACTATGGCTGAAATTCTCTTCATATGGAAATTGGGGGAAGGAAAGATTAATTTTTGGCTTGATAACTGGACACTTGATGGCAGGTTGGCTCTTAACTCCTCTCACCATGCTGATGAGTCTCTTTAGGTGGCTGATTTTTGGTCTGATGATGGATGGAATTTATAGGCTCTATATAACATTTTAGATTCTACCCAGCTCACGAAAATCATGAAGACCCCAAATGACCCCTTTAAGAAAGACATAATTGTTGTTCAGAAGAACCAATCTCAAACCTTGCTGGCTTTCATCTCTAATACTTGTTATGTAGAATGTAAGCTGGGGATCCAAGATTTGGAGTACCTTTCTATCCCCTTCAATGTCTTTCTTATATTGGAGGTTATTCTGCAAATTGCTCCCAACTGATGACATTTTGAAATTGAAAGGGTTGAGGGGTCCCTCATGTTGTGTGTTTTGTAAAAATGAGGAGTCCCTGAATCATATTTTCTTCAACATTGCATTTGTTCAAAGGGTCTGGAAGTGCATTTTGTCCAGGTTGAGGATCTCTACCTTACAAC